CCTTAAAGCTGTTCCTCACTTCCACTGTGTATTCATAAGGGATTTGGTTTAGATTGTATCTTACCGGCCCAGTGGTTTTACCTACTTTCTTCAGTTTAAGCTTGAATTTTGCTATAAGAAGCTGATGATCTGAGCCACAATCAGCTCCAGGTCTTGTTTTTGCTGACTGTATAGAGCTTCTCCATCTTTGGCTGCAGAGAATATAATCAATCTGATTTCGATGTTGCCCATCTGGTGATGTCCATGTGTAGAGTCGTCTCTTGTGTTGTTGGAAAAGCGTGTTTGTGATGACCAGCTTGTTCTCTTGACAGAACTCTATTAGCCTTTGCCCTGCTTCATTTTGATCTCCAAGAGAGATCAAAATGAAGCAGACTGACCAGCTAGCTGAATCCAATTATATTGCTATGGGGTGGGGGGAAACCTCTAACATTTTACTTTTCGATACTTGTACTTCCAGAGTGAATTGAATGGGTGTGTGGGGGGGTGGACGAGCGGAGGAAAGAAATGCTAACTTGTCCGTGGCTGGGGGCGCAATCTAGACAGTTCTGCCGGGGCGCAAGATCACCTAACTACTGCTCTGCGCCTCTGGACCAGGGGTGGATGGTGCTCATTGGGACTGGGAGGGTGGAAGGCAAGGAGGCCAACAGTAGGTGGCGCCAGAGCCAAGGAGTGGCAGAGCAAATGCGTTCTGTATCTGAGATGGAGTGGGAAGGGGCTGGCGGCCACCACAGCCATCCCCTGTCTGCCCTCATGGAGCGGCCAGAATCCACTGGGCAAATGCTCATCTTGCCAGAGTCTGGGTCTTCTGCTGTTGCTCTCTCAGAAACCGTGCCCAGGTGGGATGTTTCGTTTTTCGCAGCTGCTTCATCCCTGAGGAAGTTGGAGGTGACGCAACTCCTGCATCTCTGACATGGGAAGGTTTGGGAGTATAACAAATTCCACCCTTCTTCCTTGGCTCCCTGGAAAGAAGGCATCTTGACATTTTGAGCGCATTTCACAGGCCAGGAGCCAAGCACCCCTTCCTGAGGGGGAGAAGAGGCCCAGAAAAGATGAGCCCTTCCCAGCCCAAAGGCGTTCCCCTGAGATTCAGCTTCCGGGCTATGGCTAACCAGGTTAGGAGCAGGAATATTGGGAGCGGGAAGGAACTGATGTCATCTGCCAGAGCAGCTGGCTAATTGACGGGAATGAGGTGATAACAAGGCTTTCAAATCTGAACTCTTGTTTGCGGCTGGTTAGGATAGAGGGAGGTGTAGAACAAGGGCAATCGGAAGCAGACTCAGCGTAGTTGGTTCCTTCTCTTTGTTCGGGTTCCTACGTCACACCAGCAGTTTAAATGGCAACACTCCTTTGCAAGATTGTCTGCCTTTTTAATTGTTATGGAAAATGAATAAAATGATAAGTTGCCCCTGCCAAAGGGTTGCATGACATCTGGCTGAAGACTTTTTGTGCTAAAAGTTGAAGCTATGCTGGGGTATGTGTGGGTGTGGGTGTGTCTGTCCGTCCATGTGGCCACTGTGTATTTAACATTCCACCCCACCAAAGCATCCTAAGAACCTTAGTTTTCCTTTCAGAGTGCTACGATTCCCAGCACCCTTAACAAACCATTGTTCCCAGGACTTTTTGGGTGTGGGTGGGAGGAGAGGTGCTTTCCATGTGCGGTGTGCAGGCATCTCCCAGCACATGTGTGTGGGGATTCAAGACTAACTCTTATGCTTTTCTTCCTTAGACCAGCTTGACGTTGAAAAAGAGGTTCTCTGGGTTGAGGAACACACGCCATTTCACAGCGAAGCAGAACACGGGCCGAATGGTCACTCTGTCATTGGATTTGGTGAAGTCAGACTGGCTTTGCAAAGGAACTTGCCTCTGAAGCCAGTTGGTTGCCTGCCTCTGGCTGGCTGGTGGCTTGGCACCACCAAAACACAAAGAGACAGCCCCATGCAACCTCACACCCAAAGATTTCTGCCCATGCTTCAGACATGCAGCCCTAAGAGCAGCTCTGACTCCGACTCTAGGCCCCTCTGCCCCAGTCTTCCTCCTGATGTAGGCTACAGGATCTGGGAAGCCTGATCCAGCTTTGAGGTGTGGTTCCATATGGCCATTCGTACTGTTCTGCTTTTGCCAGAGAGCCACGTGGTAAGGAAGATCTCCAAGAACGCTTCCTAGGGGGTCCTCTTTAATCCTCAGGTGTGCCCACAAAGGCATGATCCAGCACCCTCATGCCACAGCTGCCTCTGGAGTGACCCTCCCTCCGGTAAGAGGCGTGCCTCACAGCTGAGTGCCTGGTTGTTTGTGTAGGGCGGGGGCAGGGAATCTTGTGGGCTCCCAGATATTGCCAGATCCAATGGCCTTCTGCCTCAGCCAGCATGGCCGACGGTCAGGGTTGATGGAATCCAACAACATCTAGAGGGCCACAGAATTTCCCATCCCTGGTCTAGTGAATTTGAGGTTCTTGGTTTCTCTCCCTCTGCCCCCTTTTGCCTGGAAAAGCACTTTGGCAGATTCCTTTGGAGGATTTGGGTGTGACAAGCTGTAGCAGCGCACTGAATAAAACAACTTTGAGAAGCTGAAACACCGGGCTGTTTTCTTTTCTAATAAAAATATTCACTGTGCAGTTCACAGGCACAAAACACAATGTTGATATTGTCCAGGAAATGGGTTTTCAGTTGGAGGGCATGGGTTGTGTGAGAGCATGTTGTGCGGGATAACCAGTCTCATATAACCAACATGCTTCAGTCTAATTAGTGCATGAAGGGGTTAACACCATAGAGTAAGCTGTCCTGCCATCTTAGCCATGTCTCTTCCCCTTACCTTGGGAGTGAGTTCTGATCTATTCTGGTATTCACTTTTTCAGCGTTTAATGTACTGTAGGTTTTTCCTGATTTTATGGTTTTATCTTTCTGTAAACGGCTTTGATGTTTCTTAGCATCTGGTAGTGTATAAATTTTATGAAATAAATAAATAATTATGAACAAATAAATAAATAAATGCGAAGATGTAAAACCACAACCTCCGAAATGAAAGCTACTGTGCCTCCAGACGGATGTTTTTGCCTGGAGGGGGGCCGTATTCTGCATTGTGCTATCGATGCAATAATAGTGCAGCTTTCTTTTTTTATAAAAAAAATAATAATGTTTATTAAGAGTTTAGAAATTACAGAAAGAAGAAAAAAAGTTAAACAAAGCAAAACAGTACAATACATATAAAACAGAAAACACTACTTATCTTAACAAAACAAAACAAAAACAATTAAACGCATCCAATATTTCCATATCTTATCTTTCATTTACTTGTTTCGACGACCTCCTCACACTTCCCTTTTTTGTATTCTAGTTCAGTTAGCTATTTCAGCAAATCCTTTCCATCTTTCTCAGTTTTTGTCCCATAATTTATCTTAACACTATCTAACCTTATTTTTTCCCCTTTAGCCCATTAACAGTCTATTTTTACTTAATTCTTTATAACATTTCTGCTAAATGTTATATATATAAACTTCATTCCAGCATCCTTCTAACATTCATTAATTTTTACAATTTTTTTCATTAAATTCTCTCTTAAGGCATTACATGCCGTAAACGTCATACCTGTGGTCCATAACTGTTCCCAGTCAGCCATCATGATATTGTGTCCAACATCTTGTGCCCATTTAATCATAGCTGATTTCACCGTTTCATCCTGAGTGTTCCATTTCAACAGCAAGTTATACATTTTTGATAAATTCTTAATTTTGGGGTCTAACAATTCTGTTTCCAATTTTGATTTTTCCACCTGGAAGCCAAGTTTTTTATCCAAATTATATGCCTCCATTATTTGGTAATAATGGAGCCAGTCTCGCACTTTGTTTTTTAATTTTTCAAAGCTCTGCAGTTTTATTCTGTCTCCCTCTTGTTCCAAAATTTCCCAATATTTCGGCCATTTGGCCTCCGTATTGAGTTTTTTCTGAGCCTTCGCTTCCATTGGTGACAACCATCTTGGGGTTTTATTTTCTAACAAGTCCTTATATCTTATCCAGACATTAAACAATGCTTTTCTAACAATATGGTTTTTAAACGCTTTATGTGCTTTAACCTTGTCATACCACAAATATGCATGCCAACCAAATACATTGTTAAAACCTTCTAAGTCCAGCATATCAGTGTTTTCAAGAAGCAGCCACTCTCTCAGCCAGCAAAAAGCGGCTGATTCATAATAAAGTTTAAGGTCTGGCAGGGCAAATCCACCTCTTTCTTTAGCATCAGTTAATATCTTAAATTTTATTTGAGGCTTCTTGCCCTGCCAGACGAATCTAGAGATATCTCTCTGCCATTTCTTGAAACAATCCATTTTGTCCAAGATTTGCAATGTTTGGAACAAAAACAGCATCCTTGGCAATACGTTCATTTTTATCACAGCAATTCGGCCTAACAGTGATAACTTCAAATTTGACCATATTTCTAAGTCCTTTTAATAGTGCAGCTTTCTAATGGACTGTCCACGCAAACATCATTCTGCTTTCTCAGTTGCTCTGCAATGCTTCGCCAGGGTTACCACATCATGGCCAGCTGGGGGTGCGCTCCTGTGTTGTAGCTCAGCAAAAGCAGGACAAAATTCCTCTAGTACGGCTCACAGTGAGGGCTGCTGAGAGTTGGGAGAGATCTCGGAGGCCAAAGAGTTTGCTTTTCTGCTCAGTACAGGGGCTCTTGCCAGCTCTTCACCCCTGACTGGCCGAAGATGCCCATCTCTCATCCAGGCAGCTCCACAGCGTGCCTGGATGATGACTCAGATGGAGCTGGACACACCATTCCTGAAGGATGCAATAATCTTGCAATTGTGGTGGACCAACTACATGCCAACAGGATGTCGGACTGAATGGGCCTTGGCCTGACCCAGCAAGGCTCTTCAAATGCGCTTATGTTCCCCTGACTTTGGGGACGCCTTGCAGGAGTCTCACCCGTCTCATGGCTATTCTTCTAGTGTGGACCAGTTCGACAAGCTCCCCCGAAAGCAGGTGCACCATCCAGAAGATGCTGGCGCTGTACCTGAAGAAGAAAGCGAACACAGACCAGGAGGCAGGGACTTCTAGGGGAAGCGAGGCCTTCATGCGGGAAGCCTTGACTCCTCACGTGCTCCCCGGGATCAGCTTCGACCCCACCACCCAGTCTTCTGCTGGTGTCACTCTTCCCGCCCAGAACAGGAGGCTCCTTCCCAACACGCAGAATGCCTTGCACGTGATCGATGGGCCTGTGCTCACTGTGACATAGGCAGGGCCGGATTTATGTATAGGCTAAGTAGGCAGAAGCCTAGGGCCTCTAGATCTAGGGGGCCTCGCCAGCCTGCCCGCTCCCCAGCGCCACAGACAGTCTTCCCTCTCCCCAAATTGCAAACCCAAGACTTCATGCAGGGCATTTCTCCCCCATTTCAAGGACATTTTGCTTCAAAAGGAAAGGTGGACTTGGAGAAGGCAAGCAAAATGCGAGGGAGATAGTGAAAGATACAGGAAATTGAATGCAGATTTCCAAAAATAGCAAGGAGAGACAAGAGGGCCTTCTTACACGAGCAATGCAAAGAAATAGAGGAAAACAACAGAATGGGAAGAACCAGAGATCTGTTCAAGAAAACTGGAGCTATGAAAGGAACATTTCATACAAAGAGTACTATAATAAAGGACAAAGGTGGAAAGGACCTAACAGAAGCAGAAGACGTCAAGAAGAGGTGGCAAGTATACACAGAGGAATTATACCAGAAAGATATGGATGTCTCATACACCCCAGGTAGTGTGGTTGCTGACCTTGAGCCTGACATCCTGGAGAGCAAAGTCAAATGGGCCTTAGAAAGCACTGCTAATAACAAGTCCAGTGGAAGTGATGATATTCCAGCTGAACTATTAAATTTTGTTAAAGATGATGCTGTTAAGGTGCTACACTCAATATGCCAGCAAGTTTGGAAAACTCAGCAGTGGCCAGAGGATTGGAGAAGACCAGTCTACCTCCTTTAGAGGAAAAGGCCTTGAGGGGAGGACCTGTTGCCTTCACAATCCTTCCTAACGTGCATAAGCTGAGAGGCAATTGTCCGGCAAATGTGGTGCTGTGAGGAGGCAGGAAGATTTTCCTGCAGTTAAGTATTTTCTAAGTTCCTTTCCCGAAACTTCCCCAAACGGTTCTGAAGCCTCTCTAACCTCAGAAGTCTTTTCCTCTCTCAGGAATTCTGGGATTCGAGGATAACTTCATGGAGAAGGAAAGAAACCTGCAGAATCAGCAAATGAGTGCCGGCCGGGAGCCTCCACCCCCACCGCTGCCACCAAGCAGGCTGTAAGTTGCCTTAGAGGTGTACTGTGCCCTCCCGCCTCCTTGCTTTTATGTACTACTTGAGTTCTGTTCTCATCTCCCTGAGGCGTATCCGTGACAAGGAGAGCATGAGCAAGAAGCAACCCCAATGACCCACACTATGCGCCAGCTCTTTGTGCCTTCCACACATACGCAGTCCGGACAGAGAGAGGGACTCATCCAGCACGTCCTCGCCAAGAGAGAGAAGGAATATGTCAACACCCAGAATTTCAGGTCAGATCATGCAAAAGTGCAAACACCATGCAAAGACCAGTGGAACCTGTATCAGAGTTGGGGCTGGAGAAAGCGACATCTACATGACAGCTTTATTGTTGGGTGCCAGGCAAAGTCTGTCCTGTTCACTCAGGCCACATGGGTGGGTAATTGAAAGTATTAGTTGTGGTGGGCAATTTTCCTTGGTGCCACATACTGAGCCGTGGCTTCATATTATGAGCAGGACGGCAGCCTCTCCTCCAGGTTTGCACACCTCTCCCCCACCCGAAGCCTATTGGGAAGCTTCCACTTGGATTTTAAATTAACCACGGTTTGGTGTGTCCAGATCCTATGGTGGTTAATTTTACCAGCTTTGTAAACCCACGATTGGAAGTTGGCTTGTTTCAATGAGCCATGGTTCAAATGAAGCGGTTTGTGCAGCTTCAGACATTGTGACAAGATGCAGTTAATCCAAAACTGAAGCAAAACCTTTGGAACTCCTCCTAAAAGCTGTGCTGGAGGACAGGGAGGTGTGACACCCCCCCCCCCAACACTTGGTGTGGGTCATCCTTATAATGCTAAGCTTACTACTTCAAACAAAGTTTTTGCTTTGGTTATTTCCTCGTACCGTTAGTAGTACCCAGTGGCCATTTGTTTTTCATGTCTGCTTTTATGATATGTTTATCAGTATGTGGTTAGCAGCTTCAGATCCTACTGTTTTACAGAGGCTGTTTAGCTTTTTACCCCTTTACTAGACAGGCTGTATTTCTGTGCTGTTTTCAGAGTGGGGAATGCCCATTCCTTCATGGCCAGCATGGAAACACAGAAGGTTAGCCATTTAGGAGGTTTGCAAAGAGGACAAGGGTGTCACGGGGCAATCTTCTAGCAAACAAGCTTGGCACAGCAGATCTGAGAGGTGGTTTTCTGCTCTCGGAAAGCCAGCCTGGAAACCAGGTTGCCAGGTGAATGAAGAATGGAGAGATCAACCAACTCACTTGCCTTCAAAGAATTTCTGGTTGCCTGTGGCATGGTCAATTCCCACCTTGCTGCCCACATGGAAGACTTTGAGCGCCGAAACCAGGATTACAAGGATATCTGTGCCCAGATAATAATAATAATAATAATAATAATAATAATAATAATAATAATTTTTTATTTATACCCCGCCCTCCCCAGCCAAGGCCAGGCTTAGGGCAGCTAACAAGCAATAATTAAAACAAGTTGAATGAATACAACTTAAAAACAAGATTAAAATACAGCATTAAAATATTGAAACATTAAAATGCAGCCTCATCACAGGAGGAGAAAGGAAAAAGAAAGAGGGGAGGGAATCAAATTGGCTCCAAGCCAAAGGCCAGGTGGAACAACTCTGTCTTACAGGCCCTGCGGAAAGAAATCAGATCCCGCAGGGCCCTGGTCTCATGAGACAGAGCGTTCCACCAAGCCGGAGCCAGTGTTGAAAAGGCCCTGTCTCTGGTTGAAGCTAATCTAACTTCCTTAGGGCCCGGGACCACTAGGGTGTTGCTATTTATGGACCTTAAGGTCCTCCGTGGGGCATACCGGGAGAGGCGGTCCTGTAGGTCTTAAGCCGTGAAGGGCTTTAAAGGTCAAAACCAGCACCTTAAATCTGACCCTGTACTCCACCGGGAGCCAGTGCAGCTAGAAAAGCACTGGGTGAATATGCTCCCACGGCAGAGACCCCGTGAGGAGCCTCGCTGCAGCATTCTGCACCCGCTGGAGTTTCAAGGGCAGCCCCGCATAGAGCGAATTACAGTAGTCAAGCCTGGAGGTGACCGTCGCATGGATCACTGTGGCCAGGTCGGGGCGGGAAAGGTAAGGGACCAACTGCTTGATGCGGCGAAGGTGGAAAAATGTCGCCTTGGCTGTTGCTGTAACCTGCGCCTCCATGGAAAGGGAGGCGTCAAGGATTACACCCAAACGCTTAACAGAAGGCAATGGCACTAATTGGACCCCGCAAGAGAAGGGAGTTGGTCCCTCATCCCCATGCCATCCCAACCCAGCCATAGGACCTCTGTCTTCGAAGGATTTAGATTCAATCTGCTCCCACGAAACCATCCAGCCACAGCTTCTAAGCATCTGCTCAGTGTGTCCGGGGCCGAGTCGGTGCGGCCATCCATCAGCAGGTAGAGCTAAGTGTCATCAGCATATTGGTGACAGCCCAGCCCAAAGCTCTGGATAATCTGGGCAAGGGGGCGCATAAAGATGTTAAAAAGCATCGGAGAGAGGATTGCGCCCTGCGGCACTCCACACACCAAGGAGTGGCACGACGACATCTCCCTCCCTAGCACCACCCTCTGTCCCTGACCAGAGATAAAAGAGCACAGCTATGCCCTGTATCCCCACGTCGACAAGGCGGTGGTCCAGATGATCATGATTGACCATGTCAAAGTCTGCTGACAAATCTAAAAGAATCAGCAGTCCTGACCCGCCTCGATCCAGTTGTCTACGTAGATCATCTGTTAGGGCAACCAGAGCCGTCTCGGTCCCGAAACCAGGACGGAACCCGGACTGAAATGGACCTAAAGCCGATGTTTCCTCCAGAAACCTACCAAGCTGATCAGCAACCGCTCTCTCAATTATCTTACCCAGATATGGAAGATTTGAAACTGGCCGGTAATTGGATAGGTCTAAAGGATCTAGTGAAGTTTTTCTTTAAGAGCAGACACACCACTGCTTCCTTCGGGTCCCCTGGGAATGTCCTCGTGCCAAGGGACAAATTGATAATTTCAACCAGGGGGGTCCGTGCAACATCTGGACACGCCCTAATCAGCCAAGACGGGCACGGATCGAGGAGGCAGGTGGTGGGCCTACCAGCTTGGAGGAATCTATCCACATCAGCAGGGAGTAGCCGATTGAAATGGTCGAACACTGGACCCGAAGACAGTCAAGGGGCCTCCAGTTCAGTCACTGTATCTAAATTGGCAGGGAGGTCATGGCGGAGCAACAGGACTTTCTCCGCAAAAAAGCTTGCGAATGCCTCACAGCTGTGGGTCGAATTTGTGCTTAAATTTGGTTGTCCTCCTAAGGACATTATCGACCTAATTATTCTAAAAGGTTGTGCCGGGCGAGAGCTAGCGGATGCAATGGAAGCTGCAAAGTAAGATATCTTAGCAGCTTGCATAGCCATCTCATAGGCTTTCATAAGCGTCCTATAAGATGTTCTTGAAGCTCCGTCACGAGTCTGTCACCATACCCGCTCTAGCCGTCTGAGATCCCGCTTCATTTTCCGGAGCGCCTCAGTAAACCAAGGGGCCTGGTTTCGACGGGGTCGCAGATCTCATCGATGGCTGCCAAGAGCTGGTTATTCCAGTCCTCGACAAGGTCATCTAATGAGTCGCCAGGAGGAGCAGGGTCCCGCAAGGCCTGACGGAATCTATCAGGATCCATCAGCCTTCTCGGACGAGCCCAAATAGGCTCGCCACCTGAGCAGGGGAGGAGCGGGAAGTCAGTCTTGGCTTTCAGAGCGTAGTGAACAGACCATGGCACTTCCACAGGGGGGAGCATGATCACATCTATGCCAGCACCAAAGATCAGATCCAGTGTGTGGCCTGCTTGATGAGTGGGGCCCAAAGCAAACTGGGAGAGCCCTAGTGTTGCCATGGAAGTCACTAGGTCCAGAGCCTGTGAGGAGGGGGCGGCATCGGCATGGACGTTGAAGTCTCCCAAAACCGATAGGCTTGGGAACGCCAAGGCCCAGCCCGCCG